CGATCTTTACATCATTTATTTGATGCTACATTGACTCAAGCGGATATTGGTACTTTCACCGTGAATCTGTTGTCGCAATAGAAGCGTGAATGTGCGTACACACGCAGGTGGATCACGTTTCCTGAGGCCACGGGCACACGAGTGCTCGCACGCGTGCACAGCTCGCGCGTGCGTTCGAAGGCAAGAGTCAGCCGGGCGTGACTGGTCCGGGGAGAAACGTGAGATACGCGTAAATGTGCGTAATAGCGGATTTGCTGTTCGAGAATTTAAGCGTTTTAAGCGTGTATTTTACAACAGTAAAGCCGTACAATGCTGATCAAAGCGCCTTGCTTAATGACTTTCGAAATTGATTTAAATTTCAAACGTAGGGATACGGGATTTTGCTCCGCGCTATTTAAGCGAAAAATGTATAAATTATGAAAGAAGGAAAAGCGAGGAAAAACGCGCTCTTAAATAGGAGGGAATTAACAAGATCAAAGAAGCGTATTTCAAAATTTTCGCCATTCCACGGAGTTTTGTCTGTAAAAGTTGACTTGCTCCATTTAGCTATTTATCGGAAATTGAAATACACTCTAGGGTACGATTTAATTTTTTAGCTTACCAATACAATGCAGTTTGCTACGGTAATATATCACTGTTACAATTTCTACGGAATAATTAAATACTCGTGAACGCAATGAATAAAACGCTGCAGAGGGAATTAAAACTAATTTCTATATTTCTTCTCTCTGTTCAATTAATTAATTGATTCGCCTCCAGAGTTCACGGTTCGTTTTTTTCTCGCTTGACAAAATTGGCTTTATCTTTTTGTCATAAGTTCAATTATCACGCGTCGTTGTTAATCGTTTGTTAATTGTTTGTTGTTCTTATAATTAAATGCGTATCATTCGCGACATATTGACGATGATGAATCCAATTTGACTTATCCAGTACGATACAACAAAGATGAACCAAGTCGAATATAGCGCTCATCATTTTCCTTTTAATGGTACTATCTTTCTCATGGCGTGACTTGATAAGTGTGCAAGCACTCGTGTTACTTTTACGAATGTTGAATAAATTCGTCGTATGTATTCCCACGGCTCTGCATCAGCACAGCGAATAGAACTGAGTCGGCCTACGTATGTTTCTACGCAAATCGATGAATAGCTTTATACGGTCATTCCAATTCTACTTTCTGCATCAAAGAATAAACGCACTTACTATAATTCATTAAATTTATTTTTTAACGAAATGAATTTTAAAAAGATTGTGAAATAAATTTAATAATTTCGCGTATGTGAAATAATTAACAATGTAATAAGACTAAAAATTGATTTTTGCACTGACACTCTATAACAGTTTAACTCTTTACATTGCAATTGTCTTAATCTATTATTTGTATGTAAATTGTTACATTCATAATATCAAATTATATCCACCATTTCAGTTATTTTTATTTACAGATTTTAATGTGTTTATCAGCATCATTAAGATCTTTCTAAGATGCCTATGAGCATCCAAAATATTAAGTTGCTAAACAATTTCATTTGTGATAGTTTTACAATAATTCTGTCGGTATAGCGTTTCAAGTCTGAAAATTCGATTCGGCGCGCAGTTTGATAGGATATTTTATACATACATAAATTCACATAAAGATCTAGTTGTGATCGTTATAAGTTTTATTTCCTATTGGTTATGTATTCACGTAAGATTCTTATTGTTTTAGGTTAGTTATTTTTCTCTCTACATTAAAAAATGTACTAAATTTTAATAAAAATTGTTTGAACAGTCAAATAACTAATTAAATATTTACTATATATATAAAAACATATATATATTACAAGAACCATTAATTTGATTTAAGTATAATTTTTTTTATTGAACAAATATTTATAATTTATAAATAAATTTTAGTATTATTTAAACAAATACTTATTAAAATTTTATAATTTTTTTGTCTGCATATAAATCGCCATTGTTCTCTCTCTCTTACTTAATAATATTGTTAATTTAATTAATAATTAATAATTTAAGAGTTAAACAATTCAAGAAATATATTTTTAACCAAAATTTAGCTTATTATTTACTAAGTGCATACGTTAATATAAACACTGTTGTTTACTTCAAAATAATTCAAAGCAATTTCATAGAAATGAGTTAATTAGATGCGATTGTTTTTTTAACCACACGTTTTAGAATAATACATTTTGACTTTAAAATAATATATTTTAACTTGAAAGTTAAAAACAGCAGTATATGTTATTTAATTTAAACAATTGTTTTATAAATTTGATCTTTTAATATTTAATGTATAGTTCTAAGTACTTTGGCCTGATATAATTTTTATCACTCTAATTTGAGTCAGGAGAGAGGATTTAGAGAGGAAATACCCTCGCTGGAAGGTAATTTTATACAAAGCAGGAAGCAAAAGCGCGAGCTCTTTAGAATTCTCATCCTTGGCGAGATACTGTCATCGTCTCTGTACTTATATTCGTGCGAAGCTTCGCGATCCTTATTTTGCGGAAAGAGCGAAAGCTCTTAGCAAACTTTCCACCGAAAACAGCTACGTCCCGCGCTCTTCAGCCACAATAGCCGATCCCTCTTTGCCCGCCGAGTCGTGAACATTATTTTCTTCTTCCCGGACGAATAGGGCATCTCCTGGAGAACGGTTTTACCGTTGGACGTTCCAGTTTCTTGGATCTATCGCAAATTATGAGATAGCACTCGGTCTAGCTATATCCAGCAATCGTAAGATCGTCGATAACTGTACGCGCAATTGCTTGCGCGTATGAGCGGCGGAATCGCGGCCGTAAACTAACATACGTTTTTGTCTTTTTCTGCAAGGCCAAGTTATACGGGCGCGATGAGGAATGGTTACGCGAGGAATGATTGCCATCACGAAACGTGGATTTCGACGAAATATTGATGTTTCGGTTATTCACCTCGATTCAACGGACACAATAATTTCCGGCGCTTTTATTTTGTCAGTTCAGTTTGACAGCCGGCATCGAAATTCTGCTAAATAATTAACGAGCAAAGTGAAACTTTTTGATCTGCGTGAGTTTGCACACTTTTCGGACGTTATTTTCTGTTTGTTGAAAAACTGATGATAATAAAATAATAGCAATAAATTTTGCTGGTTATTATTACAATTTGTGTTTGTGTGTTGTCGGTAATTTGTTAGTAATGCATTTAAGAACTCTGATTTATGCGAATTGTCTTTGTGAACATTAATACGATTTTAATTGAAATACTTTGCGAGAGATCACGTTAAAGTTATGACACTTTAATTATTACGAATATTCTACCTGTCGATTAATCGCGTACATATTTCACGTACACGAGCAAAAGTAACGAGATTTAATTATATAATTAATGGACTTATACGATCACATTACGTTGCGTTACAGCGCCCTATGAGGGTGGAATATGGAAGGTGAGGGTTCATCTGCCGGAGCACTACCCTTTCAAATCACCTTCGATCGGTTTCATGAACAAGGTCTACCATCCCAACATTGACGAAGTCTCGGGCACGGTGTGTCTAGACGTTATAAACCAGGCTTGGACTGCCCTTTATGGTACGTATTCATTTAACCGGTAAAACTGTGCTCGACCAGTCTGTAAATAGTGCACGAATAGCCGCGCAATTTTCATTTAGCCATCTACTTAACCTTTTCATTACAAGTAACTTAATTTAGACTTCGCTTTGAGAGTTACAACGTGAAAGTCGCATGCTTCCTAGCTGTATATGTATATATATATCTTGTATTTATTACAGTCGAGCTTTGTCGAGTAACGTGTTAAGGGATCTTTTACTCTAATTGGTAATTGGCTCCGAAATGTCCTTAATTGGCATTCACGGGTCCAGTGTGTTCGACAAAACTTTAAATTAATGTAGTTTTACTTAAAGTAAACTAACGTAATTAGCGGATACTTTTTTTCACGTAAAAGTCAAAATCCGATGAATAAAATTAATAGCTTCATGTAAGATTGTGAAAAATATTTATTGTAAACAATTTTTTTTACAATATTTGGCGCATAATCAAAAAACATGTCCGAGTTTACTGGATCCGTGAATACTAATCAGGATTAAAATATCTGTCGAAAGAGAAAGTGTGAAGAGACTATAAACGATTACTAATGACGATTTTTGTACTATTTTGTTGTTTCAGACTTGTCAAATATTTTCGAGTCTTTCCTGCCTCAGTTGTTAACATATCCCAATCCAATCGATCCCTTGAACGGCGATGCTGCCGCGATGTATCTTCACAAACCCGAAGAGTACAAGAAGAAGGTAGCGGGTGAGTACAGGCTTACTAAGTATTCCCCTACAACGAGAGAGTTAGAACGAGGACGGTGGATCATTACAAGACTTTTACGATCAGCCGTCAATCGATCCGTGTCTCCTTCTTAAAGTAAAACTTCCCCTGTCGTAGTTGCTTTCGTTTCGCGTGTGTGTACTCTTGAAACATCATTACGGTCGCAATGCAATTTCCCGTTTCTGACTTCTCGGCAGATTACGTCAGGAAGTACGCGACGGAAGAGGCGCTGAGGGACCAGGAGAACGGCGGCACCGGCAACGGGATGTCCTCCGACAGCGAGTCGTCGATGAGCGACTTCAGCGAGGACGAGGCGCAGGACATGGAGTTGTAACCAAATATATTACCATCCGCGCGTACCCATATCCTTAATCATCTCGATTCCCTGTAAGATCCCCGATCGCTCGTCCTACTACCAAATAGATGCTTACACCCGAGACTCCGAGTCTCACTTCTGGTGACGGCGACGAGGTTCCCTTTACTACTCGTAACTGCTCTCGTCGCCCGTTGCTCGTACATATACCGAGGGGTTGGTGATCGACCATCCCCGGCTCGACGAGAGTGAAAGTGACGGAGACGAACGAGGTAAAAACGGAGAATCGCGCTCTTCTCACCGAGCGCATCTCGAGGGGCGTTTTCTATCACGACAGCGATGTTTCTCACGGTCGTCCAAGCTCTTGTTTGAATTAATTCATTAATTATTTGCTGCGTATAATTGTCATATTCATGACGACGACGATGATGATGATGATTATAACGTGCTCATTTAATGAACGAGACGTTGGCAAAAATGAAATTTACATTCTTTGTAAACGTCTCGAGAATCGATGCTCTTACTTTTCAGTGCGAAGAAGAGAAAAAGCAAGATATTTAATGGAAAGACAAAGAGAGAGAGGACATCGTTGGTATTTACGGGTTATTCATTGATCGACGCAATATCGATTTTCAAAATTATATTCTCCAACTTTAGCATCGATTAGCCGGTATTTCTACTGCGTATATCTATAATGCGTTTTTCTATGATGAACAGCGAAACAATAACGTACCGTGCGACGGATACGTCTAATATATTTGGCCGCGATTACATCTTTCTCGATTTGTGAGACTCTCTCGCCCTTGTGTTTGTTCTTTCTTCCGAGCGCCTGTAAATGCGTTTGTCGTTATTCGAAAATACGTGATCGAGGTTGAAGCAGCAGAGAGATGCATGAAAATTTTAACGACGAATTGACTAATCTGGCATATATGCGATCGCATCGTCTCTCTACCAACTAACGACTCCTTTGCTGCTATCTTATAGACTGTGTTAGCATCTATTTAGAAAATTATTTTTATATTTAAAATCGCTATCAATTATTCATTCTTCTTATTTTTATCTGAAGAATACGCTAAATATTGCCTAGTTAAAAGTGAAAAGCAAATAGAGTTTGTCTCTACAATCTTTTCTTTTTCTCACCCGATTATATTATTATAAAACCGGTGCGTATGTCACGCGTCAGTTTTAGGTTTCTTTTGTTTAAAACAACAGTGAGACACGCAAAAATGTGATGGAGTATGGGTACTAGCACCGTCTTCCTTTTTCCTGCCATCACTATTCCCAAACGTTTCCCCCGTAGGGCTGCGCATCAGCGACCGATCGCCACTTCGTCGTCGGCCGCGGGAAAAAGATCGAATCTACTACACAAACGGCCACACGCGAACGACGTTGAGATGACGGAGCCGTTAGCCAAGACTGCGCGATTGTGGAATCACCCTGGGAGAATGAGTGCAAACGAGACTCTGAATATGTTTCAAGCAACCTCTACGTCCTGTCTCGAACTGTGCGCATCGGGCGGACAAAGTGCGGAAGAGACGCAAGCTGCAGAACTATCATCACCGTGTGTCCATCCCTTGGAAGTGAATGTAGATTTAGTTGATTCCGGTGGGTACGGATCGGACGCGATTTAATATTCGCTCGCGGAAAATTTTAAGTCAATTTGTACTATTTTAATCTCATTGTTATTCGACTCATTATAGATTTCATTATATAGATTATTGTTATTAAGAGGAGGACGTATATATTAAATTGAATTAGTTTGTTACAATGTTTGAGAGATGCTTTGCTTTTCTAAAAGTGAAACTGGAAATATCCTTGCGTTTATAGAAAGAAAAAGAAAGAACAACTACCTTTACTTAATTAACATTACTTCCAACCGCTAATGCAGTTTTAAGTTTATTTCAAATATTAGAACTAAAGAAAATGAAATCAAAGAACTCAGGGAATTTCTGTTTGAGAAACAAAAACTATGGTTGTATCATCGCTAAAATAAGCAAAACGTGAATTCGAATACACGAATGGAAAGCGCGAGGAAAGGACTAAATTTATTTTTATGATTGACGATTCAGCGAATTTAAATTTTCAAAAAGAACCAAGTAGATTAAACAATTGTTTGGCAAAGTGTAGGAAAACTGTAAATTTATAAAATATAAAATTGTACAAACTTTGGTGCACAATAATCTTCGATCAATAGTATCTCGTTTCAAATTGATCTCCCTCCTTTGCATGATTTACATGTATGCAATGCGATTTATAGCTGTACGTAAGTATAAACATTATATTTCAGTGCCTTCTCAGGCAAAAAAGCGTGCCTTATTATATGGGTCTCTGGTAAAAAATTTCATTGGAATATATGAGTGAATACGACGAGCATTTAGCGTTTTTTGGACGGATTTTTGGACAAAATTAATTATGCTTGAAACATTGCAAATTAATATGGAATGTGTTTTTAGAAATTAGAGATAAATGTCGATTATTAGACTTCAATAATTTCTTTATAATTGAAAAATGTGTATAACATCAACGGAAAAGACAGATATGTAAGAAAGCGTGAAAAATTTCACCGATCAATCGGTTGTTCATTTTCAGAATTTTAAACAGATATGACGCCGAATTCATATAACAATGTTGCATAGGCGCATCGGTCGTAAATGCAGCAACTACAGTAATCAAATTCAGAATGTAAATAGCAAAACAAAAGTTACAATTTTTTAGTCGATATACTATATATTTATACAATTTCGTTGCGCACACACTTACAGTCACAACTTTTATTTCGTCTACCGATGAAGCTTACTCAAGTTTTTAATGTATTATGTAACAGTTCTGCGCTTACTTTTTTTTTTTTAAAGAACGCTATGTTTTATGCAACGATATATAATTTATACGTAGGAATATTCACGCTTTACGTTATTACGTTATTATTTAAGACGAACTTTCGTGGACACGGCCTGTTTCCCAGCGAATCTATTCCGTTGACGACGTGTACTGCAATGTATTTACTGTTTCGAGAAGTGCTATTAAGAGACTAAGTGAAATCAGTACACTTTTCGTGTAACTTACCAGAAGCAATGCCGTTTTTATGTTCTCATGTTTTTTTCTCGTGCAATTATGTAAAGCGACGTATTTCAAAATCCGTCAGTTGTTCATTGTCATATTTTTCATATTTGTCTATTGGCTTCGTTATTATTATAATTTCAGTGCTTTTTGAAACTCAGTGTGCAATCAACAAAGTATGATATGTACTTGAATATACGTCAAGACAAATGTACAGTTTATTCCTTTATTAGCCTGAGTACTTAGAATTATCTCAGCTGTATTTAGGAAAGAAAAAAAAGAAAATTCTACTCTTTTATTCACACTGTATCTCTCATCTCTCACAAGAACGCGCGTCTTTTCTATTTTATTTTTGTAAGTTAGCACAGTATGTAGCTTTAACACGTCTCTAATGTCTCGTCGGCACTGTACTTTTAGACTTCGTTCATTCAGAACCAAAAATCATCATGTAGAATGTGCGTTTCCTATGGAACCGTGTCGATTGAGTTTGAAGTCGTGCTCTCAGATCTCACATCGTTGCTAATTATATATGTAACATATAGAATTATTGACTAGTTATACGCATAAATATATATATATTATCGATCATATTCGCATAACTTTATATTAGTTATTATGTATATGGTTTTACTAACGAATTGTTTAACTAAGCGAAGAAGAATAATTTTAATAATCATTTTTTATATTTTTTTTGCAAGTGTTGTTTGTTCCTCCTATCAACTGATAATTTAACGCGTCTCCGTTTCGACTATTGGGATTGTTTCTCATTGTCAGTATTCCCTATTTGCGCGCGCGCGCGTGCGCTGATTATTATAACGAAAAATTTTCTATAATGTATGTGTAAATTGATGTTGAATTATCGGATTAATGCTTAGATTAATGTTAACTAATATTTCGTTTTATAATGCGAAGATCCATTGCCTCTATTGTGTTCAAAACCTTTTTGTAACATTGAATAATACGTCTAAAGGCATATTTTTATACATGTATTGCAATGATATAATATAGCTATAGTTGCATGTTCTTTATCCTATGTCGGGTTCCATCGCCATTTAATTTTCCTCTCTGTGATCATATAAATAATGGATAATCAATTATTCAATTATTTTTATAATCGTGAACACCCTGTCTCATACAGAACGATTAGAGTCTCGCGATATAATGAGATGCATTGCTTATGTCGTTCCTTTAATTCCGTAAGATACGTCGAATGTTTTCCGAGTTTTGTACACATTTAAAAGATGCAAAGGAGTCGTTACATAACACAAGAAACAAATAATTAATTATATATAGTGATAATCAATTATAAGCTGTAGAGAATTGAAACGAGAGAATTTGAAACTATGATTATTGTGATCGATTGGTTCTTTGCATAATCTGTGTTCTTAATATCCCACCGTAAATCTTGTTCGCGAAGATGTAAGTATATTTACGGATGACAATTCCGATATGGAGAAAGAGAGTAGCTGGCGATGAGCGATGCTACGTGTTTGCCAAAATTTATGTCAACAATTTGTAATCGAAGGGCGAGGGATTCGTTTTGCCCGATTCAGTTTGATCAAACACATATACATATATATATATACAATGTCGTTTATATATATATATATATGTACATACATACACACATTCACGTAGCATACAGTGTCAAACATGTTTCAAACGAAACTATTAATTTCACGCCACGATATACGGCGTTCATGGTCTACGACTTTTGTGAAAATCATATTCGGAGTTGTAACTTCAACGTACAAAAAAGAGAGGAAAAAAGCAGATACCCTTGAATCAGTCGAGATTTTCATTGTACGGAAATTATAATTCTGTCGTGCTACGTTCTTTGAAATATCGAAATAGGGAGATGGAAGTCGGTAGAGCGGTCATTATCAAAGATATTCTTTAAACGCGCTTAAATAGCAGGCACTTGTTCAGGATTCCAGCGTGTGACGTGAATAAAGAAGACGATGAACGACTGCTATTCCTGTTCCGCCGGCGGAGCACGTATCCTGATTTGACATCATGTTTTTCTCGCGAGGTAAACGTTGAATTAGATAATTGAGAGGGAAATGTATTCTCTCTACCTTCAGATATTTTAATCAGGACAGGGAGACAGCAATATTTTTGCTACTGTTCGTAATTATATATCATCGATGTTAGCAGACGTGCCGACAATGGCACGAGCGTCAGACGCGTTTGCAATAATGGTTGATTAACAAAGTCATAGTAAGGTGGATGAATCGTTATATCCTGATCGTACGATCGAAACTAGTCGCCCGACAACGACGATGCAATTGCGCTTGCGGAATATGCATTTCGATATAGTTTGGCAAATTCGTTTTACAACTCGATCGCGTGACAGCGATCCCTTTCTTGCTACCTTATCCAACCGAAAATCGAATAAGTCCTAATCTCTTAGATCCAGCGATAAAAATGACCTAGCTGTGTGCATATTTGCAAAATAGATAGTGAACGCCGACATTGCCACGGGACGGTAGTACTTAATCGAGCGACGCAGCAGACGCGAATAAAACAATGGCTGATATTTATCAGTCTAGTAATTTAAATGCATTCTAAACGTTGTTATTCTGCAGCACATCCGGGGATGTAATTAACAATATTAAAGAAGCTATATTAATTTCGGTGATATTTTTGTTACCTTTGCTTTGGACAATGTCGACGTTCGCGGCGCAATGGACAGACTTTCGCGTGTGTTATTACTGCTTTATATTATTCAGCGATTGTGCGAGAACGTACCTAAACCGTTTCCATGTAGATAAGCGAGGCCATTTTCTACCGCGTCTGCGAAAAATAAATAATCCTGATGAGTTTTGCGTAATCACGCAAAGTGAGAACTGTTCCGTCGCGAAGAAGCAGAGAATTGTAAACGCAAGAAAACGAAATTACGATATAATTAAATGCAATTTGTGACGTGAGAGGAGGACATATTCTCTCGAATAAAAAGTTTACGCTCGCTTATGCATCTGGAAATGATAAGGATTTAATATTTTGACTATATATGGCGATAGACAGGCTGAGCGAGATGAACAGGCAAGAGCATAATGCTATACTACAAAGGAAGGGACGGTTTCTTGGCGGCCCGCACTATGTGCGTGCAAATTTTTTTAATTATTCGAATAAAAATTAGAGACAAAAGATAATACAGTATTTTCATTGAAATTATATTATACACAAATGTGAGAAAAGTACTAGAAAACGATTAAGTCGTTATAGACTAATTAAAATGATTGGAGAATAATTAATTTGAAAACGAAATTTATGGGATAATTTATTAGAAGTTTTATTTAAGTATATTGGGACAAATATTTTTATCATGATTATCGTAATGTAAGTATTACTTCTAAAATACCAATTTTGAAAACGACAACCGCGAATTACTTTCGAGAAAACGTTGCTTAGTGCGTGCTGCGAAGAAATTAGGAGATTGAAGGACGCAGTAACGCTCGTGATCCTTCAATCGACCGATTTTACGCAGTGAGACGGATTTTTTCGATAATAGATTTCGATATCGCTGGTAGACTCTTTTCAAACGTAACACATGTAGCGACGTATAAAATGCTAAGGAGTTGTACTAACTCTCTCGTGGACGACGATTGTCATTAACTCTGCAGTAACGTTACGTTTTCCCCAGTGGTTCCTAGTCACTGCCATACTTATTAACGACGGTATCATGAAGAGCGTGACCGGAGAGCTGCTACAGGAAATTTTTACCGAACAATATAATATAAAATGTTAACAAAAGAGCAAATACACCTCGTAATGTGTTCGCGTTATTAGCTGCTAAAAGCTCTCAAGAAAAATTGGCACAAAGACTGCTGTACTGCAGGGTTTACGGGGAATCGACGAGATATCCGTTATAATTAACACTGGCAAAGTAAAGCTTCATAAACTAACGTAGTGATGATGATAATGATGACGATAAAGTTCGGAATACTCGTTCGGAGGATTTGTTCGGGAACCGTTTCTATGTTCCATGTACAATCGTGAAGATCGAATTATTGGTGTCTGTAGAGGTACATATATTTTCTTACGGTATATGGTAATTAGCTGCGCTGTGCTTCGGCTCCGTGAAGGACCCGTTTTCCTTGAATTGGTCAATGATGAAATGAAAAAAAAAAAACAACAGAATTGAAAAGAGCAGAATTTCTAAAATGATTGCATTGACGTAACGTAATATATTGTACGATAAAACTGTTTAACCACGGTATATTTAATTTCGCGGTATTTAGTTCACTATAATGTCAAAAGCTTCATGAAAATTATTTGCAGTCGTAACGAGTTGGAATAATTCAAACAGAAATGATGCATTTTTCTATTAAAATTCAGAATACAAGATAGATTAATAATAAAGTAAAATATTTAGATAAAATATGGTCCAAAAATGTGATTCGAGATTAAATGAGACGTTCCAAAAATTAATTTTAATTTTGCATAGTATTCTTAATATGAGATTTTCAATTAACTGCAAATTTAAAAATCATTATTTTGAAAAATGAAAGCTTTTGATATAAGCAATAACGACTGAAAAATTCGCACGATTACTATTGAGATTGTTTTGTGTAACAATTTTAAACAGCATATAGGTCCAACTTTAAGGAAGAATAAAAAAGTGATACATTTTTGGACTTACGCGCTATACACAGATTTAGAAAAATAATTCTAAAGGACGAATTTAAGGGAACGGGCGCCTCACTACAGCTAGATGTAAAGTTTCCTTAGGTACCTATTGTTTCAATGTATGAATCGTCTATGTAAAATGCTGGTATACTGTTAGAAAAAAGAAGAAGAAAGCTATGTGAACGATAAGAACGCCGAGAGAAAAGAATTACTTTCAAATAATCCGGCCTTTTGGAAGGAAAAAAAAAGCAAAAGAGAAAACGGAGGTGAGACAGAAATAATTCGACGATCTGGCGTGTCTTACCAGACAGATTTCCCGAATCTGACCAATCACACAGAACGTCTTTCTAGTTAGCACGTGATGACGATGATTACGAACTTGCTGAATCTACGTTTTCATGGTTCGTGAACACAATAAAACAATGACAAACAATGAACATTACGCTATTACAAATATTTATTATAAATAAGATATAACAAATATAAATATATATATATATTATATTGAATTAACGATGATTGAACAAGATGCAATTTTTTGGTACAATAAAACGAAAAGAACCAATATTGTGCGAATGTATTTTATTGAATTATCCACGTACTCCTATACTTTTTATGTCGATTACGTTTGACATTATTTTATAATAAATTAATAACTCATTTATGTAATTATCTAACTTATTTTTTACATATATTGAAATAAAATAAATCTTACAGATTGTTATAACATAATATATAAATAAGAAAATAAAGAACTCTCAATATTAAAAAATAATTATGTGGTATTAAAGGCGCTAAGAGTCAAGAAGTATGAAACATTCGAAAACTAAATTATGATAAACATTAATAAATAATATAAAAAAAATTTAATAGATCTAACAAAAATATATATTACATATTTCGACTTTTAAGTTTAAGCCCTCTTCAGATATATGTAATACAAAAAAGTGTATGCAGTGAAATACCAATAATGAATCAAAAGATACAAAGAAACGCAAAAAATAATTTCGTTGATATTTATGTTAGTTCTATTAAATTCTTTATTTATTATTTATTAATATTTATCATAATTTAGTTTTCGAATGTTTCTTACTTGTTGACCCTTATCGCCTTTGATATCACACAATTGTTTTTATAATAATAATATACATTGAGTTGTACGATATATTTTAACATATCTCGACTAATTAAAATTTAAAATTCTAATACAAAAATGTGAACAATACGATAATGTTTAAATAAACGAACAAAAGTAATTAATGACTAAAAAATATAATTCACGGAAAATTTGTAACTAGTAAAAAATCAAAAGGCAAGATAAATTTAATAACAAAAAGTAAAATTAGCTAAATTGTTCTATATTTTATGGAAATCATTGATAAATATGCGTAAATATCTGAGATTTCAGGATGCAAACTCTAATGAACAACTTTGATTTATGTTAAAAACTAAAAAATCTGATAAAAATTACTTTTTAAAAATTAAATTTTTACTTAAGAATTATCACTCATATTAAAATATTACACAAACAAAAATCATCTAAGAACTATGTAAGAACTAACATCTATGTACTTTTCAATCAAGGATAATTTTTCTAAATTTTACAGAAATCAAAGTTTTCTTGGTTCTCAGTAAACTTTAACTATAATACGGCTAATATATAATATGAAGATATAGTTATTATCAAAATAAACACAATTAGCTGTTGGTGACGGCGACAAAGAGTTTCTTATACGATACGATAATAATAATAAAAAGATAAAATGAAGGGCAATTCGAGAGAGTTACCGATAATTATAAATAAAAGTTTCCACATATTAAATTTAAAAAATTATAATTGATAAGGATATAAAATGTATACACACACACACACACACACACACACACATACATATCTAAAATTCTGCGCATTACATGTTTCGGCTCTTGGATTGAACGATAATAATAGCGAATTCGAATTTGTCAGGATATCGACATTAACCGATTTTCAGGATTCTGAAACATCAACAAACCCTAGAATAAAAGACTTGCTCACGCACAGTCCGGGGAAGTCTCGTGTTCGTTACAGACATAGTTAATCAACTGCATAGTTTTGTCTTTTATTCGATTACTATATTTTTATCGATAATTGTAACTTATTTCATTTCTTTTATATTTTTGACGATAGTAACAGATTATTTGAATTCGTTCAAAAAGAAGAAAGAATAATACGGACATACGTCGCAGAAACTGCAGTCTGATCAGGTAATTATTGCACTTGCTAATTAGTAAAAAAAAACCACTTGAAATGTATTTATTTATAATATATAGCCCATAAATTAAATTTCATGTTCATTCATTTGTTATAAGTATCTGTAGGTTTGTTCGCATAGCTTGCTACAAGATGCTCTAATACGGTTCTACTATAGCTCCTATATTCACACTAATAAGGCTATTAAAGTAAATAGGATCTATAGGGATCTAAGAGTAAAAAGTTAAAGCATGTTGGAGCATGCGATGTAAACTAACCTTATATGTATAAATAAATATTCAACATTTTGCATATAACCATTATATATGATAAATTTGAAGTTAGCAACATTTAACACAATTAAGATGGAATCACACGATGCTCGTTTTCTTGAATGATATGCATGCATGCAGTCATGCCTACTCTGATGCATGCTAGAATACGTTCATGTATTGAGCGGTGTATACTGACATATGATACATGATTTCTGTACATGATTTTTATGCATGATTTCAAGCTTGTTTCCTTGTATGCACCAATCAAAAGATTGAAGATGCTGTCGATCGTCTGCCTGATTACGTGACCATCTTCAATCTTTTGATTGGTGCATACAAGGAAACAAGCTTGAAATCATGCATAAAGATCATGTATAGAAATCATGTATGTATATCAGTATACACCGCTCAATACATGAACGTATTCTAGCAGGCATGAATGCATGTATGCATATCATTCAAGAAAACGAGCATCGTGTGATTCCATCTTTATGCATTTTTATAAGGCCATCGCCTTATAGAATTATAATAAAATCGATTTTTCTTCGCTTAAATGCAAATTTTAATTGATTTAACTACATATTTCATTGTAATTGATACATTTCGTTATTAGTGACATTGATTATAAAGTCTTTTTTCAGTAGACATTCGAATCGATTATTATTCGTAATGAGAATATTCCCAATTTTAATCTTCTAAGATGATAACATTTGCATCAATATTACTATAATTAATGCTCGTTAATTTAATTTATTACTAATATGTTTTAATTTATAATATTATTGTCTCAGTTCTGTATACATGATTGTGTTTCAAAATTGAAAAAGATTTTGTTGCGCAATTGCGTGGGAGAGAGAGAGAGAGAAACCTGATATACATATAATTTTAAATCAAATTATTATTTAAACACTAAAATTTAGTTCTGATCATATTCAGACTTTCGTTTTTAAATTATATATTGACATTATGGTCAGACACTCTTTAATCTTAATTTTAATTTTGCTTTGAGATTTACGCAAAATAAATTTACAGGACATTACCAAAACAATGTCTGCATATACAGATTGTAGACTAAGAACAAATTTTGAAGATGAGACTAAACTTGAAGTAAGTGTAAATTCAATTATTTTGTAATTAATAATATATGACTTAAATAAAAAATAATATACGACTTAAATAAAAAATTCAAAATAAAAGTGATATTACTGCGGTAGTTCAGTAGAGTTACGTAAGTTTCAAATTTGAAAAATTCGGCGCACTATTAAAAATCTACCATACGTATAGTATATAAATTCACATGCAATTATAGTATAGAAACACTCGAGATCCGCCTTGACTGCATGTTCTCATTGATTTTCATTGGCTTAAATTCTTACGATCCTATAGATTTAATATTGTTTAAAATTTTTTTTAAATCTTATTTTTCACAGATTTTAGATTCATCATTACTTTAACATTTACATTGTTAAATTTTAATATATGTCTTTCAACATATTATTAAAGATCTAATAAGATGCTATATAAGCATCAAATAATTAGATTTGCTTTAGCAATTTAACTAAAAAGTGATATTATTGCGGTAGTTGTTTAGTGTTGCGTTGTAAGTCTGAAAAAATTTTCGGCACGCGATTGGGAACTACATACGCGGTATATAAAATTCACACATTATAATAAGCATTGTGATCTAGCTTTGACCGGAGATGGCTTAGTAGACCGTTAGTTATTGCGGTTTCCTTATTCTTGTTAATTTAAAATTTAAATTATACGTTTTTATATACTTTTAAGAATAAATATTATATATAAATACACAACATGTTCATTGATACTATATAATTTTGATTACGACATTTTAACAGCATTTAGCATATTTTACTCATTTGATATATCTATGTATATGTATCTTAGGAGTTAATACGAAATAGAAAGAATGCAGTAGAACTATGTAAAGCCATAAGAGAAGATCGATTGCTCAAACATAATCTTGGTACAAAGCAAGAAGAAAACATAGACAGAGAAACATACAAGAAGTTAACATACAAAGCTGCTATTTCACCCCCTCTCTGTGTAGATGAAATTGTAAATTACATAAATTCATCAGAAGAAACATTACAATTACGGGCAATTCAGTCTTACGAAAGATTAGGCGAGGAAAAAAATTCTGTTAATGATATGATAAAAGGTGGCATCATATCACGCTGTATTGAGCTTTTAGATAGTAACAAGTATGTGTCTACATAAAAATTAAAAAAAGGATTTTTTTAATTAAATTGTTTATTCCGTGCACATTGAGCTCTTCTGCAGCATATATATATATATATATATATATATATATATATATGGTATATATACCAT